GTCAAATTTGTCAGAAACATAGTAGAAGCAACAGAAAGGAGCCATTAACACTCACACCTGTAACAAAATATCTATGGGAAAGATTGGCAATGGATATCATGGAATTTAGAAACAGAAAATACCTCCTCCCTACAGATTATTTCTCGAAGTATATATTAAATATTAATTCAAGCAATGAAGATAACAACAAGCGAAAAATAGTTGATTATCTGAAATCTATATTCAGTGTAGTGGGAAAACCAACACAAATTAGGGCAGACAATGGTCCCCCATTCAATTCAAGAGATTTTGAAAATTATTTCATAAATGAGGAAATTGAACAAAAAACTAGTAGTCCTTATCATGCACAATCAAATGGATTAGTGGAGAGACATGTTCAAAAAATCAAAAACATGATGACAAAATCTCCTGGAGAAGACCCACAAGGATTGGTGATGATATACAATAGTACCCCCAAACCAAAAAATATGCCTTGACCTGCAGAAATCTTCCTGGGCAGGCTAATGAGAACCAATTTACCTATTGCAGAGAACACATTTGTTGAATATGCCAGACCAGACATAGTGAATAATTTGTGGAACAACCAACAAAAGCAAGAGTTCTACTACAATCCACAAACAAAAAATATGCTGGATTTAGGTAAATCAGTTCTGGTGCACAAGGAAAAGAGGTCATGGGTCCCTGCAACAGTCATGAGAGAAGATGAGAGCCCCAATTCATTTTGGATTGGAACCCAAAAAGGTGCCATCTACAGAAGAAATAGATTTCATCTGAAGAATTTCAATAACAGGCATGTGGAATCAAATAATTCAGAATCTCAACAGCTTCTACATCAGAAGAGTTAACAAGTGTACCAGTACCAGATCAAGCTGAGCCAAGATGTAGAAAGTTACCTACTAGGCCTCCTGAGAGATTTAAAGATTATATTCTTGCCTAGTTCCTTAGGGGGGCATGTTACATCCGTACCGATGGCTTTCTATAGCCCATCTCTACAGCTATCTGACATGGGAAGGATGACAGCTGTCATCTCGATTGATGATTGACAGCAATGACCAATGACGGAGTTCTACACAGATTTTCAAGGTAGTGAAGAAATAAGATCCTATGCAGAAAGACTCAAAAATCTGACCAAAACACTGTGGGTATGGTAATTTCTTGGAAGATACTCTTCAGGATAAGTTTGTGTGCGGTTTGCACTCATATCAGAAAGCATCAAGAGGAAGCTGTTAACCGAAGATAATTTGTCATTTTCAAAGGCCTTCCAAATAGCTGCTAGTAGGGAGCTGGCAGAGGGTCAGATTGAAGTTATGGGTCAGGAAACTGCTTGGGTATTATATTCATCCTATACATATATATGAGTAAATTTTCAGTACAGTGAAGAGAAATAACCTCTCATAATGTGTTCAGACACTTTTTTCCAATCTTCAAGTTATGAATTCACACCGTCCTTCTATCGATCACTCTCTTATTTCCCAACTTAGTTTCACATGCAACTTAGGATTGTCCTGATTTTGGAAACGTATGAAAGCTATATTCGGGATTTTTTGCTCAAAATGAACAATAGGGTACACAACAATGATGATTCATGTTTTCAAACGTTTATAAAAGTTCTCAAACAACATTATAGACGATTAAAACACAACTACTTCTCATTCAAAACACATGCAAACTGATGTAAATAAAGCAATCAATAGCCCATACGTTAGTAATATTAGAAAACGGTAGAGGGCGTATTCCTTAGCAAGATTCGCCTATAGCTTTACTGGGATCTATAATACTGTAATGATATTCCCCTTAGAGGGGCTCTAGAAAAATCATCAGGAATGCAGGAGTACAACGATCATCCTGTAACACGCATCCCAGATTGTTCTCCAACCTCCCAATGATTGCTACATGCACCAGCAGATTTCCAAACACTCAATATATGCCACGGTGACAAATAACGTGTAGTGTGATCGTGTGTTTACTTTCATTTAATATCGCATGAATGTAGATGCTGGTTTTAAAGTAGTAGATATTGTCTACTGAGAGAAAACCTCTTGGAGATTAAAGTTCAGTGGTTGGAGTTAGGCGAGGTAGGGAGTATATATTTTTTATGGCCCTGTTTTGTAAAATTTTCAAGGGATTCAATATTCCACTTCCAGTAGAGCCCCATATTGAAGCTAGATATTGTATTCTAGAATAGATATGGGAAAAGTATAGTAGCTTGCAGTGAGATACTGAGAAGTACTGCTTAATTTTGTATAATGCTCCTATGAACGGTGAGATTTTTTTTCTTATTGCTAAGACATGTGCATTGAATGATAGTGTTTCATCTATCAGAAGACCAATATATTTTACTGTGTGATTATACATCAACTGAGAATTGCCAAAATCGATTGGGTTGACTTCCTTGCTTCGTAACTTACTAATATAGATATAACTAGATTTATCAATGTTGAGGGTGAGCTTGTGAGAGTTCAGCATATTTTGAATAGCTGCTAGATCATTTGCAATAATTGAGAGATGAATAGATTCTTTACTTTTTGAATGATATACTAATGTGGTATCATCAGCATACAGCTTGACTGTTCCTTCAAGATGTAGTTTACTGAAAGCGTTGATATATATGAGAAATAAGGTAGGGCCAAGAATGGAACCTTGTAGGACACCACAACAAATTGATCGTGTGTTACTACGAAAATTATCGACTGTCACAAATTGCTCCCTACCTGATAAGTAATTACGGAACCAATCCAAAGCCTTTCCTCTAACCCAGTGGTTCTCAACCTTTTAGTGATGAGGGACCATTTGACTTTTTTTTGTCTCGCCATTGACCACTTTCTATTCGGAGGTTCAAACATTGAATGAAAATTAATGGATGGTTGTATCTATATATAAACAATATTTAAATTGTTTGGCGGAAATTTGATATTACAGACAGTATACATATATCGCTCAACACTTGGTTCAGTGCTACTCGAAGCCGTATTTCGGCACTAGAGTCCAACCGATTTCGGTGCTTGATTTTAATAATTAGAAGCGCCTAGAACCCTCGCTCGCATAGATAAGTCGGTGAACACAAAGTTAGGTATCGAATAGCAATGTCTCAAATCTTTGCAAAAGAAATTGCCTTTCGGCAGTTACTATCGTGTTGCATTTCAATCACTTCTTCAATTTCATCAGGCACCTCAGAAACATTGACAATGACCGGATTGCAGATCCTCGTTATCAGGAAAATAGCGATCGAATTCATTAATGTTCTTTCGTTTTTCAAACGGAGAAGAGTTCTCTTTTTCTCTTTTTCGACTTTTATGATCAATAGTTCGGTTTTTGCGATAAATGCAGCAATTTCATCTTTATATGCAAATATAATGCTGGTGCCTTCCAACTTCGGCGACGGCTTTCGTCTACTTGTAACTAATGTCACTTATTCAATATTTTTCCGATGGCTTCGCGGACCTCTTTGAGTGCTTGCAGGGACCACCAGTAGTCCGCGGACCACCGGTTAAGAACCACTGCAGTCTAACCCCAAGGTTTTCTAGTTTAGTCAACAGTATAGGGTGATCAACAGTATCAAATGCCTTTCGTAGGTCAAGCGACATAATGGCACACACATAGCCTTCATCAATCTTCATTTGAATATCTGATATTAAGTCAATTGCCGCAATTTCTGTGTCACTTGACTTACGAAAGCCATATTGGCCTGCATATAGAAAGTTATTTTGGTCCAGGAATTTTGTTAGGCGTTTGTTCATGCAGGATTCCAGTAGTCTAGCGAACACTGTTAATACTGTGATAGGTCTATAATTTGAAGGTTGTTCAGGGTCACCATTCTTGAAGATTGCACCCACTTTCCCCATTTTCAAATCTGTTGGTAGATAGCCATTATCAAATGTCATGTTGAACAGTTTACATAAAATAATGGAGCATTCTTCCTTGAAGTGTTTAATATGTTTCACTGTGATATTGTCAAAGCCTCTTGCTTTATTTGGGTCAAGATTATTTATAATATCTTTGATTTCCTCAGGTGTAGTGGGGTAGAGAAGGATGGATTCTGCCCAGTTATGTTCTTCTGGTACGAATGGGGTTGGAGGTAGTGCATTTGAGAGCTCAGGACCCACATTGATGAAAAAGTCATTGAGTATATTTGCAATCTCTCTGGGATCTGATGAAGTGTCATGGCCCTGTTTTAAAGTTGAGATACTAGGGTTCTTGTTTTTATTTTTATTAAACAGTGCTGTGTTCAGAACTGCCCAAGTTCTTTTTGTGTTGTTTCCAGCTTGTTGGATTTGTTGGTAGAAGTGAGATTATTTGAGTTTGATGACTTCTCTGGTAACTTGTTTTTTATTATGTATGTACTGATTGTGGTGTAGGACACTATTTGGGTACTTGCAGGTTTGTTTATAACATTTATCCCTTTTGTTCATCATCTCCAATATCGTAGCATTCATCCATGGCGCATTGCCTATCTTTTTGTTCTTGAAAACCTTCACAGAGAAACTATCTTGAAAGGCAGTTTTGAGTTCATCATATAGTTGTTGAGTGTCTTGATATCCATGTATCTTGCTTATAATATCATTCAGTCTAAGAAGAACCTGATCATGGTCTAACTCATTTATCACATGATACTTGCAAGTGTTTTTTTATTCACCCCCTTCAGGCTTATAAGTTGAAGTCTATGGTAACTGAGGCTGCACTCTATTACAGAAGTGGTCTGTATGATACTGGGGTTGTTTGAAAGAGCATGGTCAATAAGATTAGCTGACTCTGATGTGACACGAGTAGGTATTGAGTTATTTAAGAGGTGATATCCATTCATTGCATAGATATCCACTAGTGATGTAGCTATCACACTATCTTTAAGAATGATACGTGATATGAATCGTTTTACATAAATAGTAGTTATGAGTTCAATACAAATTAGTGTTCCTTAACTTAAAATGAATCTGTTCGAGAATAAATAGTGTCATGTTCGCTTCTGCACCCGAATAACGTAACAATACTATAATTACCTGTACCTTCGGGATAGGAGCCCGGCCCCATGAAGTACTCCTTGTTGACGCAATTCCTCAGGCACTCCGGTATCCGGCCCATGATCGCCCGCCTGATCTCGCTGGCGGCCATCTCGCGCAACTCAGTGGCCGACGCGTCGCTGTAGAAGGCGGCGTGCGGCGTGCATAGCAGGTTCGGCGCGTCCTTGAGCGGCCCGGCGAACACGTTGTACGGCTCGTTCTCGTGCACGTCGAGCGCGGCGGCGCGGATGCGGCCCTGCTTCAGCGCCTGCGCCAGCGCCTCGTCGTCCACCAAGCCGCCTCGCGCTACACAATCGAAAGAAGATAAGGTGAGTTTGTTAGTGGCAAGGATCTCGTGCGAATCAAGTCGGGAATATTTCATTAAACAGCATCTAAAAAAATTAGAAGTGGTGCAGAAATGGATTCTCAAAGTTATTATGAGAAAACAAAAGACATTCTTCTGACAATCTTTATAAAGAGGCGAATATACTAGATATTAGACAAATTTATTTTCTGAACGCAGTCATCTATCAACACAAATCTAAGAAATATAGTGAGTGCCCTTCTCACAGAAATCAATTGGACAGAGGAATATCCTCTATCTTGCTCCAAGACTCTATAACTCTCTACCAAGAAAAATCTATGAAATATATCAACTGAAATCATTCAAGTCAAATGTGAAGGAATATATTCAAAATGTAAATAGAGAAGTAATCCATGAATTCATTGAAATGAAGAATACGAAGTGATAATGTTGTGATAATTTTCTAGTGATTATATAAAAATTGAAATTCTTCTAGCTCAAATCGATAAACATTTTTTTAAGAAAACTGTGCATGTATATATTTTTCCCGAGATTTATTCCATTAGTGTGTTTGTATTGTTTTATAATTCACGTCGATATACCTTTTCAAATAAATTTGTGTATGTATATATTTTTTTCAGAGATTTATTCAATTAGTGTATTGTATTGTTTTTTTAGTTCATGTTTCAAATTCAAATTATAGACGATATCTTTTACATATATACATTCAAAACTTTTTTAACCACAGACAGTCTTTGACTTTGTGGATTCATTGTTTATTTGTGTATAATGTTCCTAAATATGTATGTAATTCCTGTAATTTTTTTCTCCAAATAAACTGAACTATTATTATTATTATTATACGAGTTATTATATAATATAAAAGAGAAAAAAGAAAAAGAGAAACGATCGAATATAATTACTCGATGAATGATGATGTATTGAAAAGAGTCGAAACAGTCAAAGATCTGGGTGTTCACTATGATTCCACACTTTCATTCAGAACACATATAGAATATATAGCCTCACGAGGCCTCCGAGCTCTTGGATTCGTCCTTAGGCAAAGTAAATTGTTCAAAGATACTGGCACAATAACTGTGTTGTACAATACACTCGTCAGACCAAAGATGGAATACTGCTCGGTTGTATGGAACCCTCATCAATTTCTGTACAAGCATACTCTAGAAAAAATACAAAACAAATTCCTGAGGTTCCTCTACCTGAAAAAATATAAGGTTTTTCCTGACTTTAATGTAATTCGAAGTGAGATGCTCCGAAAAGAATTCACGATAGGCAGTCTCGATTCTCGAAGAATCAGCAGTAGTGTTATAATGTGTTATAAACTGCACAACAAATTATACCACACTCCGTATTTGCACTCTTTGTTGAAAAGAAGAGTACCCATCAGACTCACAAGGCTTAACCAGTTTTTTGAAATCCCTCTGGTAACAACGAACAACTGCTCCCCTGTAATCTCCATGTTGAAGATAACGAATAATGTTCTCCTTCTGTCAGAAATCGATATTGCTCTTCCCCCCCCCCCCACAATTCTTCAAGTTACTTAAACAATATTTTGACAATGTTGAATAAATCTTGTTATGTCAACCAAACAACAGTTCATCGATAATGTACCAACTATATGATGAAAGTATGAATTTATAATGGAAAATTATTGGAAACATCAGCAGATATCTTTATGCACATTAAGACTGATTTAATATTAGGTTTGTTTGTAGTATAGTTTTCTCATGTAATTAGGTGTAAACCTGTTTGAGAAATAAATAAATAAATAAAAAAATAAAATCAAGTTACGCCCGCATTACATACATTTTATGCACGACCTGTATATTTTTTACAGTATGATTATAGCGAGTGATTGGAACTTTGCTAATGATATAAATTTGTATGTGAATACAAAACGCAGTAAGTTCTTGTGTATCTTGGAAGGAACTTATAAGATCTATTTTCCTGAAGACATATAAAATAAGAGCTAATCAGGGACATCATACAACATGGTTTGATGATACACTAAGGGCTATGCGCGATCCATTAAGTTTTTTGGGAGAATTGTACAGACATCATAACAGCATAGAACTAAGGCAGGAATATAATAGATATAAATTAAGATATCGATTTGCTATTAAACAAGCCAAGATAAAAGACAATGACAAGTTAATAAAAGATGCTGCCAATCCATCTAAAATGACATGGAAAATCATAAATAATCTTAGGGGTTCAAATAAAAAGAAACAGAAAATAGAAACTGGTGGGATATTGGCAGAGGAATTTAACGATTTCTTTATGCATATTGCGTACAATGTTATTGAGAAAATACCCATATCACAAACTGATCCAATTAATTATTTGGGCAATCCTCTCGCTCCCAGAGCTCCCTTTCCATTCTCTGAAGCCTCAGTTATTGAAATCAGAGATACCATTGATAACTTAAAAAACAAAACTAGTTCTGACATCTACGGACTTAATGTGAAAAACATTATTATCAACCCTCTCACAAAACTGATCAACCAGGCATTTAGGGAAAACATTTTTCCAGATGTTCTAAAAATTGCCAAAGTGGAGATTTGGACTCACCCCAGAATTACCGACCTATATCTCTCCTGCCAATCATATCAAAAATACTGGAAAAATGTACGGCCATCAGAATAACAAAAACTTTTGAAGAGAATAAGTATTTTACAGACTGTCAGTTTGGATTTAGGAAAAACAAGAATACTGTATTAGGAATATTGGATCTAGTGTCATATATTTATGAGGCTTTTAATAATCTAGAATTTACAAAGTGACTTGTTCTGTGATCTGAGCAAGGCGTTTGATTGTGTGTCACATGAAATTCTTTTGCGCAAACTAAAAAGCTACCACTTCTCAGCAGATAGTTTTACCTTTCTCAAGTCTTATTTAACAAATAGAAAATAAACTGTGAATGTGGATAGTGTATCATCGGCACTTGAGGACGTCACAATCGGGGTGCCCCAAGGCTCAGTTTTGGGGCCCGTCTTGCCATCTATAGGGCCAGGAGCAAAATTCACACTATTTGCGGATGATACGACGGTGGCCATATCGGCGAATACACTAGAAGAGGCTCTAAGGAGTGCAGTAAATATCCAAAATAATATCCAGAGTTGGTTCTGTGCCAACAAACTTCTACTCAACACCGGGAAAACAAATAAGACTGTTTTTTCAACTAGGGACATGTGACCAACAGTGACATAAGTAGTGTGAAATTTCTGGGGGTACAGATTGACCCACTGCTGCAATGGGGTGTGCATATTGATGGGGCGGCAGGCAAACTCAAGAGTGGCTTGTTTGCTCTTCGCCTCTAGCCGGCAATGTCTCTATTTTTTCATTGAGGGCAGCTTACTTTGGAATGTTTCATTCTGTGATGTGCAGTGCGAGATTGGTAGGGGGGCATGTACCACAGTCAAAGAGAGTATTTGCGTTGCAAAGAAAGGCTATGAGAATTATTGCAGGTCTGGGATATATGGATGACTGCCGTGAGGTATTTGGTGAGCTTGGTGTGTTGACTCTGCCATGTGTATACATACTTGAATGCCTAATTTATGTTCACGAAAATAATAATTTGAGAAAACAATAGGTTTACTCAATTAATGCAAGTTTTATTCATTTGATGAATCTTTAAACTATAACTTTTAGGTAGTATAGTGTCTGAAATCTTGTATTATTATATATTTCATCTTTTGTAATTGTAATTGAATTATATATTATAAGTTGACGTGTGAAAATACAATTGTATGTTAACATAAATAAATGAAATGAAATATTCGATTTTTCATTGTGAATACCTCTGTATCTCTCAAGCATGATAGAAATACATCATAGTTGCAGTGAGGCTGTAAATTCGTCAACATTACCATGAAAACCTAATTTTTCGAAATAGGAGTAAACATTTGCATTCAATTTATATTATCAAAGATAACTTATTTTTGGGTTGAATGAATAAATTAATAAATGTATAAAAAAAAATAATTACATAAATAAATGAATGAATGAATATCTGATTATTTTCACATCACTTACGGTTCTTGAGATTTCAGGAACTGCATGTTTAATCAAGAGAAAACTAGAAAAGGGACAATTATTATTCAAAATTTTCACGAAAAACCCTAGACAGAGAAGTTTCAAAACAAATTCGAGCATTCTTCAAATTATGTCTCATATATTTGTTTCAACATTTTTATCAAACATTTTCAATATGACAAAATAATAGCTTATAAATAACAACAGTGATACAAAAACAAATGTTAATGGAACAAACACATCCCCAATCAGCTGGTGCTGGTCTTGGGATCATTTCATCCTACTTTATGTTGAACTAGTATGCATTAGTCACTGGATGGTATGAGTTAGATAAGAGTTCGGACACAGAAATGACTATTGTAAGTGTTTTTGAATGTTTAGATTTATTAAGTAACCTTGCATTGTGACAAGAGCACCTTGCCGTTTCGAGCTTTTTCATTCAAAATTATTTGAATTTGACAATTCATTTCATGAACGCCAAAATTGAAATATAATTTCATCAACTATTGAGAAAAAAGTATAATTGAAAATGTTCTGCTGTGTAATGAGTTGTCGCAATTCTGAAGAGAATGGATTGCATTTATTTAATTTTCCAAAGGAAATATCAACCTTTCTCTTGAGGAAGGAATGTATGAAACGGAGTGGATCTCGGTCTGGATGGAAAATTAATTTGAAGACGAGCAAAATTTGTGAGGTACATACATTAAAATTCACTTCTTATAACAGCAGATTGGAATGAACCATATTTTAGGCCCATTTTCAAACACGACATTTCAATATCAGTTTGCGAGAATCTATACATCCATTTACAAAACAGACTATTTCGAATACAGTTGTACATACCATAATATGAAACTGCTTATAAGTATATCCATATGTGTCTATTATGTCATATTAAAATTTTGTTACATGCATTCTTTTCAGTTTTTTAACTGATGTTCTGCGTGAAGTGTATCGCTATAAAGTGAAGTGGGCGTTTATTGTTGTAACTTTTATGAAATAGGATAACTTATTTGATAATGACGAACAGAGTGCACAAAGCTTGGTGAAAATGTGAATGTGAAAAGTTCTGTGTTAATTATATATTTTATTAATAACAATTGAACTAAATAACATTTCTTCTCCATGACATCACATAATGTAATGATATTTCCCTTAGAGGGGTTCTAGAAACATCATCAGGAGGGCAGGAGTACATTGATCATCCTGTAACACGCATCCCAACTGTTCTTCAACATCCCAATGATTGCTACATGTACCAGCATATTTCCAAACACTCAATATATGCCGCGGTGACAAATAACGTGACAGAAGATTCTGGAATGTTCTGGAAACAGTCGATGGAACAATTAGAGAGAGAGGTATTGTTCTTAGAAGCTTCTAGAACAAAAAGAAGGGTACGGAAGATCATTCGAGAACGTTCCAGAAGCAAAGCCTACCAAGGGATCCCATATATATGGACGGCCGAACAACTGCAGTCAGTCAGTCAAGCAGCGAGTGTCAGACAGTCATATACCGCGTGATATAAATCGTTTACATAAATAGTAGTTATGAGTTCGATATAAATTAGTGTTTCTTTAGTTCAAATAAATCAGTTCGAAAATAAATAGTGTCGTGTTCGCTTCTGTACCCGAATAACGTAACAATTGGTGTCAGAAGTGTGGGACATTCCAGTGTGAAGTGAACAGACCGTTGAATGAAGAAACTACACGAGTTGAAAGTGGTGGACTTGAAACGCGAGTTGGAGGAGAGATATCTCGACACAACAGGGATCAAGGATACACTTCAGCATCGTCTGTGGTTATGTCTAACTGTCACTGCTCGTCAGTGTCCGTACTCCGTACATGTTCTATTTATTTTATTTATTTATTTTTTTATTTATTTATTTATATTAATCCACACTAGAGGACAGTTGAATCGGTGAACGTGAAAACCACGGCGCACGACTTGTTTGCGTGGTCTTGTCAGTTCTCAGCATTCAGCACAATGTTGCCAACATTCATCTAAGTTGTTATGGAGAATAAGACATATTTGGACATGCTGGTTGCTCGAAAAAGTCAAGACTGAACTAAGTCAAGAATGAACTAAAACATCAAGGGTTCCTCCTATTATGTTTCATTCAACGACAGGACTCTAACATCTTCTTGATAACTTGGTTATAATTGGTGATTTTACAACCTTGCTTCATGAGTGGAAATAAAAGACTATCTGACCAATAACGAAACAGCGCATGGCGTCAATGTCTGTGTGTGTTATATTCTTAAATTATTATAAAGTCTTATTGCAGTTTTATATGTCTGCCTATACATGTCATTGTCCATTTGATTTATTTGTCAATATCATTATTACTGTTAATTAGGATCATTATCTTTATCACTATTATTTGTGTAATACTTATTTTGTGTGCTGCTTTGTTGACTTGTCCTATAACTCTTGTAAGTTCCAAAGGATTAATAAATTGATTGATTGATTGAAGGTTCATTTGAAATGAGCTCTGAAATTCAACAATTCCGAACAACGCATAGACTCATTATTTACATAAAAAAGCGTAAGAAGTGTTGCAAAAATTGATTTAGGTTCCTAACGACACAGTGGAGTAATTGAATGTCAATAATTCATTATCCGTTCCCATTCTTCTAGACGCTCTAAAAACCGCCTGTACGTACCTGTATTGACTAGGAACGCCCCCGGTCTCATCTGCTTGATGGTGAACTCGTTGATCAGATGGTGGTTGTGCTCATTGAGCGTGCAGTGCAACGAGACGCAGTCGGACTGGAAGAGGAGGTCCTGTAGCGTGTACACCCTGGTCAGGCCGAGGCTCTTCTCGATGCCGTCGGGCAGGTAGGGGTCGTAGAAGATGACGTTGAAGCCGAACGCTTTCGCTCGCAGCGCCACCGCCGAGCCGATGCGGCCGAGGCCGACAATGCCGAGCGTGTCGCCGCGTATCCGGGCGCATCCCTGGGCCGCTTCTCGCACCTGCAACCATCATATTGCTTAAGTATAAATATATTTTTTTTCTGCAACCGACACAAAAGTCGTCCATTTTAATACCAAAATTAACTCTTGAATTGACATTTTTATTGCTGACACAAAAATAGGTATGTTGCTAGGCAACACATTTAGTTCCTTGGAGCTAAAGTTGAACTTTAGCCTAGGAACTAAAAAGGATGTAGTAGAGTTCATCAAGAATAAACAACATTGTTATAGCTGGTTATTTGGGTTGGGACGCATACCTCATTTGTTTCCGATTTCAACAGATTTGGCATTTCATCCTCCTGCTGGAGATATAAATACACCTTAGTATAGTCTTCGAGTATTCACACGAGTGTCTGAGGGTATAGTTGAGTATTTTTGTTTTGATCAGGAAAGCCTTTTTGCTTGATATGAATTTCATTCATTATTCTCGGGATTTATAACTTGTTTTTGAATAATCACGGCCAGCAATAGTTTTTTGTCTCAAACAATGATATTGTTTACCTACATTTGATTATTAAGCCAAACACAGTGGAATATGGAGATTGAAGAGAAATAAATAATCGCTAATTATTATTTTTGATATGCTCACTAACCTAACATTTTCCACCTCTTGTTCCTATACCTGGCACTGGCGCGGTATTTGCCATGAGAGCATCTGGTCCATACACAAATATGTCACTCTGTGGTTGTATTCATATTGAAACTAAGAATCGAACATCCTTGAAAATTGAATAAACCTGCTGTTAATGTAGGTAGAATATTCTCACCACACGGATTATTTGTTCAATTGCATACATTTGGCACGGCATTGGTGGTTATTTTACATATTCATTAGAGTTAATTGTTTCGGTTGCAGAAAAAATAGCATGTTTCATTCGGATCAACAGTGACTTTGTTTGACTCGCAAATTTTGCTTTCGCTCGGCTTCGATAAACGCTTCGCCTCGCAAATGCAAAATTCACTTGTCAAACAGAGTGTCACTTTTGATTATAATAAAACAATCTATTATTTTGTGACGAAAAAAAAAAGACAAATGACTATCAGGAGTATGAGGTACCTATACCTATTATACTTTTTTCTTGTTCTTCATTCAAGTGTTAGTTATTTTTTATCGAATTATAGAGGTTTCGATACTTATACCATCATTTCAAGTTCAACTTCAAGTTTATTTTGTTATTTTAGATACAAATTGTATATGTGACACGTCGGAAACAAAAAAAAAACAAAGTACACATGAATACGAGCATGAATAGTACAGCAAATACATATTAAGAAAGGTTCTCATACTCTTTGAAGGAGTAAAACAACTTGTTAGAAGATATTCTTTGAGGAGCTTTCAAAATTTCACATGGTTTTTTCTTCTTTGATGGTTTGGGGAACTAAATTGAAATATTTCGTTCCTGAGTAATTTGGGGATTTTCTATACCAGGAATAGTTACATTTGGTTAAATGGAAATCATTTCTGTTTCTTGAAGATACGTAACACTATTAAGAAACACGAAAATCATTTGACACTCGCGGAAAGAAAGAATATCTCCACATATCACAGCAAACCTCCTCATTTTTACGGACTTCTAAAAATACACAAACCAAATGTTCCATTGAGACCAATCGTGAGTTCAATTGGATCTCCATGTCAAAATTTAGCAAGATTTCTTTTGAATATCATCAATCCTATTTCAGGAAAAAGTGAGATTTACATCAGAAATACTCCTCATTTCTTAGAAAAGCTTAATGACATCATTCTTGATACAAATGATACTCTTGTTAGTTTTGATGTAGTGAGTTTATTCACAAATGTTCCAATAGACAAAACTTTACAAATAGTGAAACATAAATTAGAAGACGATGAACGTCTTACTGAAAGAACTAATCTAAGTATCGAAGGAATAATGGAATTTTTGGAATTGTGTCTAAAAACAACATATTTTCAATTGGGTGATGAGTTTTATCAACAAAGCTTTGGAATGGCCATGGGATCGCCATTATCTCCAATTTTAAGCAATATATTTATGGAAAATTATGAAGACAATATCATCAAAAATTACCAAAAACAACCTAAAACATGGTGGCGATATGTAAAAAAAAAAAAAAATTATTGGATTATGTGAACAATGCCGAACCTACAATAAAGTTCACTTTGGAAATTGAATCTAATAATCAATTACCGTTTCTAAATGTTCTTATTGAAAAATCAAATAACATCTTTGTAACGAGTGTATATCGTAAAAAGACCCATACTAACAGATACTTGAATTTTCAATCAAATCATCAGAAAAGTATTAAGAAAGGAATAATCAAATCACTCCATGATAGAGCCAAATCCGAGGCCAAATCAATATCATCTGACCAACAAATTTTCAATAACGAAGTCCACCACATTAAAAATGTTCTCCAACTCAATTCCTATCCAAAGAATTTTGTCGATAGGACGATTCATCAAATTGAAAACAAACAGGGTCAACCACAACAAAATCAACCATCAATAACGACAAATATAATACCATACATTCCCGGCATATCTAAAAAAATAAAACGTGTTGGTGATAAATTTCAAGTGAAAACTGTGTTCAAAACTGAAAATACAATGAGATCAATTCTAACTCAAACAAAGCCGAAAAATGAAGAACAATCGTCAAAAAATTGTATTTACAGTATACCTTGTGTTTGTGGAAAGTTTTATACAGGTGAAACCGAGGGTGAAACCAAGAGACCTCTTTCAGTAAGGACGAAGGAACATAAGTACAATATAAAGAAAAGAAATATCGATAAATAGAAACTAGCTGAACATATCCTTACTGAAGACGGACAACATATGGCAGAGTGGAATAATATTAAAATCATTGGAAAAGAAGATAACAACCAGAAGAGAAAAATCAAGGAATCTGCTTGCATTCTTCTGAACGGAGACAATAGCATTGCTTCTTGTTCAGTTGATATAGACAGAACATGGTATTCACTACTAAAATCTGAACATGAAAATGGTAAATTCAAGATTAATTAATGAAAACATCCTGTAACTCATTTGATTGCCAACGTCACCAATTGTCATTGAAAACTGAAAAGCTTCAAGACATATTATACGACTTCGCTTTGAAATAATCTCTTTTCATGTTGAAAACGGGAGCAGAACCGGTCCCGAAACGTCTAAAGATAAGTGAAAATTTGATATTTTTTCTATATATACCGTTATTTCTCTTCTCCAAAATTTTTTCAATACAAATTGTCACTGACAAGCTAGTGAATTTTTCTTTTAGGCTCTCTGATAGGAAAATTCTTTAAACGCAGTGACATTTTGGGGCAAATCATTTGATTTGTCCTTACTACACGTATATTGAAATAATATCCATATTTTTATTTTATAGAAACGAGGAGAGAAAATCCCAAAAAATTTGGAATAATGAATGTATAGTATATCCAATATCAATTGCAGAATATTCCGCACTATGCGGCGTCGGCGTGTTTGAAGTTTTCTTTGAAGTGACTGCAGGTGCGGCACAAGATTCTGCGATTGTTTTTGGAAAAACTATACCACCTCCTCGATTAACCTACAGGCAGCATTTCTTTGCAAGGTTCTCTTTATTTTACATAAAAAATCAGTCGCAAAAAACGTTTTTGCATAATGGAGATCCTATTTATATCTGATGCAAATGAAAATGAATGAAATGAAATTCGCCCTCAATGTAAGAAAAGCGTAATAAGATTTTTTCAGTGTTGTGCATACTTAGTTAATCAATATTGTAATACTCCTATGTATGTATATACGTTAGAACACTCTGTATGTTGATTTTCCTATAGATTAGTCTAGAATGTCTAGATAGTGGTGGATCCAGTAGGTAGGAACTGATGGGAAACAAAAGGGGTTGTTGAGAATATGGTCAGAAAAAGATTGTCAAGAGAAATGTCAGAAAAAGATGACCAAATAAAGGAACAGGAGCTGCGGTATTGAAAAGTTGAATTTATACGACAGTATAACAAAGGGAGTCCTGAAAGCTGAGTCCAAGAAGTAACTTCAGCTGAGATTGTGGAAACGGCTATGCGGTACTGGCCAGTTGAAGCAAGATCTGATCGGCATCAACACTGGTCTGTTGACGGTACCTTGTGAGCTCACGAAGTCAAGAATCTTTTGTCGTTATTCATGTGTATGGGGTTGGTAGTATAGGTACTGTATGATAATTAATACAGTTTAGTTACTGAAGTAGTGTATTTTATTTACTTATCTGCCGAACCTGAATAAACCCTAGTCGGGATACTACAATAATATGTTTGTTGAGAGATAATTCACAATCCAGTTGTGTTCCAAGTAATTTTGTACAGTCTGATAATTCTAATCGCGAATCGAGATGAAGTGGGCGATAGTATTTGTTTGAAAATTGAATGAACGTTGTGTTATCCAAGTTGTTTATCAAATGAATACATCTACACCATGCTTCGAATTCATCAATGACTGATTTTCAATGAATTAGTGGTTGGGTTTGGAGTTGTTTTTGTGTTTAAACATTTGTAAATAATTTGTTAGAATTTATGATGGGCACAGGATGACCAAAATCCAGAAATTATTCAAAATATGGTTGGCGTGCTGCACCTTTAGTCTAAAGCTACACCACCACCCATTTTCCGTGGATACATGATTGTAAAAAAATTGTGGTATGATGTGAAAATTGTAATTAATGTGTTATACATACTGGTGCAGCAATAGGTACATTGAAAAGTTCGATACTTTATCTCTGTTGGAACAGCTAAGCTTCAATGTGCCATCCACAATACTGTCACCTTCAGAAAAACACTAGTTGATTCAAATATTATGCTTAACTCACCTATCTATGTAATGTGCAATAACTATAACTGCATTGCAAACATATGTGACATATACAGGGTGACATTTTGAAACTTCTCACCTTCAATATCTTCCTTCCAGTAAATAATATGGAAAATCGAATAAAACAGACCAATTTCATTTTCAATGGAGAAAGGGGGTCAAGTGGCACATCATTTTGAAG